TCCTCGAATGGAATCGAGGAATGATTTATAAAGTTCATTAACGCATTACGAGGATAATGTTTCTATCAGTGTCTCTGAACCGGTTCTGCTTTCTAATACTATTGTAATCCTAACCGAACTGTGAAATCTAAAAATGGTATCACTATACAAAGTAAGCCAGTCGCCTACATATAAATTATTGATCATATATCATCAGACGCTAACACCATTGTAAATATACATATCGTAGCGAACCCTTATAACTACTGGCTTAAAGATCAATATTGAACTCAGTCATGCGCCGAGTAGAACAATCATAATCAACCACTGTATTTGGTCATCCCAAATTTGTATACTGAGAGTGTTATCGCGTGAGACATAATAGCTTGTGTTTATATGACAATTTTTAATTTACGACGTCGATTATTGTTATTAATTAAAATAATAATTACATTTTCATTGTCTCTTTTGACCTCCTTCACCATGTACTAATTAAGTATTACTATTGAATAGATATTGAATGTGCATTGTTTACTAATTTAATTAAATGCGGACTGTGTATATGTACTATATAAAAGGTAGATATAGTTTATAATAGAAATCACGTGGTACATTTGAATAGTAAAATATTCAAAATTCAGACCACGTGCGTGTATGTATAGGCGATTATAGCGAAAAGGGGTCAAAATTGCGTATCCATGGAAAGGTTGTGGTTTGGAGTCGTTACTGTTAGGCGGTGAAACAAGTTTTAGGTAGAGTCGGCAATAATCTAAAATTTTATTGACCGTTATATTTATTTTAGCCTATTTTTAATGGCTTTAGTTTCAATGAATTTTCTGCAATACGGTTGTTAAGCAACGTTTGCAAAGGCCGTTGGCAGGATGGGTGACCGAAAATTTGTTATCTCAAACTTCTCCGTGTTTCGGAAGGCCGTTGGTCCCGGCTGCATCTGCAATCAGTTAATACCCACCAACCCTCACCGAGTCATGGTACATTCACCCTATTCCATTCGATACGATTCCATCCTGAGCCCCAGCATTGAAGACATTGGGCTGGTGATGATTAAAGATTGATCACAGTTCATTATTCAAATTGAGTAGATATCTCTTTAGAACAAACAGTATATTTTTTATTCTTAAAACAATAACCTAAATGGCATCTCGTATTCGAGCATCACCCTTATACTAAATTATAGATGAGAAACACTCGCACATTGACAAAATGATTCAATCCCATGTTTCATTTATCAGCCACCAATAAATAGTAAATGAATAAGCAACCATGTGCGCAGCAAATGAAGTGGCCATCCCTACAGCTAGGATCCTTGACTTATACGCAATTTATATTCATTTCCTCGAGCCACTATACAACAGCCTTTTCTCTTAGGCTTCCTACTTAGCATATAACGCGTCAACGCTTCGCCACATGATATTTAAATTTAATACAATACAATTCAATATCTTTATGCATTTTCTACAGAATCGCAAATATTACTACTAATTCTCTTCTTCGATTGACAGACACATGGAAATATTTTAAACTCGTACATTATAAAAAGATAATAATATAATATAAAGTGATCAAAATTAAGTTTGGTCATAAATAGAAAAAAGAACTACAAATTGAAAGAATTAGAAACAAAATGGTCGTACTTGAAACATGACTTTGAACAGATATCAAAGGAAACAAGTGGGGAACAAAAAAAAAACTTCGCCCAATTTAGAGCCCAATTCGAGATAACTTAATATTAACAGAAATTTCTCACAAAAGACCCGGAGACCAACTTAATAAAGCGCAAGATGTCGACGAAAAATTCCAATCTCTATTTCCAAACGTGCCCGATCAAATTGCTTCAGTAATAAGGGTCTGCCTTGATAAAAAAAAGTTTCATTTCGACTATTGTGACTCATTATCTGCAAACACAAAAGGTACGAAGACTCATCTGGAAAGCCTTCAGTCCTCGTGGTTATTACAAAGAGTATGCCCATAATCGTCTGCCCCAAATATAATCTTTTGTTCGTCTTTCAAAGACTTGGAATTGTCGGACATCTTCATTAATATTTCCCCCGCCTTCCTAACGCTGATGTGTTATAAACACCATTAATCCTATTATTAAATACATCGACTTTACAATTAAGTAATTTATATTTCTATTCAGACTTTTATAAACCTATTTATCCATTCTTTAATTACTAAAAAAAAAAAATAGTGTCTGGTCAAAGACCTTTGCCGTCTTGAACTCTTTGCGCATGAACGCTTGTCCGATCATCTTTGGGTGATACTGAACAAAAAATAAGAACAATGGTCTTACAGCCTCCTTTTAATAGAATATGTTTATATCAAATTATTAAAACTTAAAATTATCAATTTAATAACCGTATTGTATCAAAAACTGACCCGTTTAAATGCGTATATTAGGCTATTTATGAGATTCGTGTTTCCTCATAGGAAGTGGTTATTAATCATCTTTAATAAAAAAAAATATCTTGTTTGCGACCTCAATTTATTTGACTTGCTAAAAATTCCGTATTCAAAGTAACACAAGTAAGTTTTGAAAATGCGGAAACATAATATATTGACCTTGGTCCGTATCGATATGAACTATTCTCACTTGACGTACTGTATTTGATTTTTTATTTGCGCTTATAATAATTGCTACTAGATTTGTATGATCAACTCTTTGATTAAGTGGCTTGAACGTCATCTCTGAATCTAAGCTCAGTTGAGTCAGTATAGATGCAATGAACTTTTTATCCCTGGCTCAAAATTTTTTGTTTTTAATTTCTAGGTATCTAATTTGTTAAGTAAACAGAAAATCGATGATGATGGCGCCTCAATATTATATATAATTTATATCTTTTAAACTACTGTTCATGTAGCAACAAAATTACTTTATATAAACAACAATATTCAGGTTAAAGATAAAATCGTAGACACTTGAGCTCAAAAACAATCTATGTACACGTGTACAAACTATTACTTGTTGTGAACGGGATATGGTGTTTTTGCCAACCTTCCATGTATGGCGTATCCAAGTTTATTATTGCAAGCGCGTCGTCACAGCATTTGTTCGGAGCTGGCAGTACAAGGGCATCCACTTCATTTCCTAGACTCGATAGATCTATACAGTCTGTGTAGTAACAATGTTAGACAGTTTTTCTTAGTTCCTTTTTTGGTATCTACCAACATGGGTAAAATTAATCAAATGTAATAATTGTTTATTCTAAATCGCTACGAGCGATAGTAAAAAATTATAACCTTTATACTTGTTACAGGTTTAGTATAAGTTTATGAATGGGTTTCGAACGTTTTACTACATCGGTCATAAAAAACACGAACCTATTATATTCTTATACCCTACCATAAAGATTTAATGCAAACATATATTATAGCAGAACGCAAACAATAAATTGGAGTCATTGTACTTGAAGCAGTGACTGCGAAAGAGGTGGGAGCATCAATTTGCGCATAAATATGTGACGCTCAAACAGCAATAACGTCGATATTACACCTGTGCCTTTCACGTGTAACTACGTTTTATTACGACATTGCTTGACTTGTTTCCCTTTTTATCTTTCGTACTTACTGAACCCTTAGATTTTCATTTCAAGATATCTGTCTTGGAGAATGTTCAAACACTTTATTTTATATTAACGTTTATTTTAAGAGCTTTTTTATACTACATACTTTTTATTTATTAACATAGTCTAAACTACTTTCATAGTCAAAAAAAAGTTTTATTATAGTAACATTGAAAAAATTTCTACGTACATTGTGCGTGTAACACGTACGTTATTGTATAGATTCATTTATAACGACCAAACCATTTCGGAAGGTGACTTTGCCATCATCAGGTATCACATGCTCTTAGCAACACAATTTGTTTTGTAGTCACGTATAAAAACTGCATTAGGTAGGTGATTAATTGAGTCAGCACCGTTGCAGTCTAGATTTTGGTCCAAAACAAATTGCTCCAACTAACGAAAAAAACTCAAATAATAATATCTTTAGTAACCTGGATAGGTTCGTGGCGATGCAAAAAAATGCCTACCTCTACAACGATCACCTTGAAACTCAGAGTAGGCGTGCCGAACTTGATTTAGTTCGCCATCTGACAAACCCTTTTTTTGTCCTGAATATAAATAAGACGAACAAAAAATACAAAGTCGACAGAGGATTTTTTTTTCTTGGCAGTTTCCACAGGGACCGCCCGACTAGAGTTTAGCGAAAGTAAGATTTGAATAATAAAGGGGAGAATATTCGCCTATGTTCTTACTGTGCGGTGTTGTTTTTATGTTTCTTCATAAAGCGGCTCCAGAGATAGTGGGCCGTAAACTTTCCCTGTGGCTAAACCACGAAAATATGCTTTCCATTTCGACGGATACGGACCTCTTATCTAACGCTCGCGTGCGATTTGACTCGAAAAGGAAACTAATGCAACACATTTCCTAGAATGGAGGCATTATTATCCTCACCCGAACGCTTCCTACATGATTTGATAACGACTTCCTGTGTCCTTTAACATCCTCATTAGTCAATGTTTTACAACATTCGTTCGAGATACGGAAGTATTTAATGCACTTCAAAAGAAGAAGTTTATGGTTGCCTAAAAGGGTTAGCCCTTTACTAACGCAGAATTAAAGTCATTTGTAGCCCTTATCCATTGACAAATGTTCAGCATTATGTACGCGTTAATTTATAAATGGTTTCATCACTTTTTCAACTTGTGACTTATCTTAAAATTTTCCACTATCAAACTATGCATGTATTATAAAAATTAATTTTACATGTTGGTAACAATAATTCCTATGATAACAATATCATTAATAGTAAGGCCGTAGACTTAATGGTGTAATATCATGCATACTAATTGAATATAGCTAGCTCTTTGCCAGAACCCGCGGTAAAACGGACATGCTTGAAATAATAATTGAGTTCTCCACAATTAAATAGATAACACTGATTTTCTGTTTCGAAGATAAATTTGTTTTATTTATGATCTTTTTTTCTATTGTTCACAGACAAAGAAGAACAACCCTAACCACATCAAAAGGCCGATGAACGCGTTCATGGTCTGGTCTCAGATCGAACGCAGGAAAATATGCGAACAAACTCCAGATATGCACAACGCGGAAATTTCCAAGAACCTAGGTCGCGTCTGGAAAACACTTAACGATGAGGAGCGCCAGCCTTTTATTGATGAAGCAGAGAGGCTTAGGCAGCTACATATGCGTGAATATCCGGACTACAAATACAGACCTCGTAAAAAGACGGCGAAACCCGCACAGCGTGCTGGTGCCGTCACTAAGCAGAAAAGAAGACAAAAAGCGGATTCTAATAACAACAGAGGCATGTCGAGACGGCGAACGCGACCACCAGCATTAAGTGTTCCAAGTGTTCCAGTAGAAACACCGGCACCTCCACCACTGCCAGCGTCACCTGCTGGCTCGCCAGACTCCCCAGAGTCCGCTTGTTTATATGAAGATAGCACACGCCGAGAGCAAGCCGATCTCTCTGACCTTTACTCGATCACTGATCTCCTCCCTCTGCCAGCGGATTGCGAGGTCGACCTCGACGCGTTGACGACGGACATGGAATCTTTTGAGACCGCGTCTTCCTCGTCAGGCTCCCATTTAGAGTTCTCCTGCACGCCGGACGTGTCTGACATGTTAAGTGAAATTGGCGTGGCGGGTGACTGGGTAGACAACACCTCCTTCTCGTATCTCATGTCGTCTTAGAGCGGTGCTCGGGTCGGTTCCACTGATCTCATGCGGTCGGCTCAGAGCCGCCAACGGAGGCCGATGACGCGGCGCCCGCTCGCCGCCCCGCCTAGAGAGTGCCTACATCCAAAATGACGTGTCGACATTTGGATTTAATGTACAAAGTTATTTAATAAGGGTCGAGGGAGATAATTATGTTGTATTGTCAACCGGCTGCACGGCCGCATTCTCCTTCAGTTCAGGTTTATTAATTTTAGTTTTGTTAATAGGCGACGCTTCAAACGATCAGAAGTGCATCAGGTCTATAGTAAGGCTGTGAGTCGGTACTTTTTTATTACTTGAAAATTTTTATTTTAAATGTTGTGGATGATTTTCAAAACGGCACGTCTCATACGCATCCCAGTAAATAAATCCGTCTACACTCCGTCGCCTGTTTAATAAGCATCGGGTCAGCTAGGGTCTGGCAGCGGCACAGCTAAACCACGGCTCGACTACACCAGATTTGTAAATATAAAACCCGATGGGGAACAAGAAGTCGGCTCGGGGACTGGCTATGTCACTGCTTAATACAAATAGTTCGCTGCACCGCGTCACGTCCGTAAAATGTATGTACATTACACGACTTTGCTTCTAGAATTTTCTTGAAAAAAAGTATTTTCGCATCTTCTAATTTTATTTTAATCACACGTATGTTTTAAGCGCAATCGATTGCGTTTTCTGTCAAACTCTTTAGATGGAATATTATAACAATTGTAATAGAAAAATAAGACTAGGTTGTAGTCAAGTTTTTCTTGCGTTCTAATACGTAAGTTCACATTATACTTTGGTGCACACACATAGGTAGTACGACGTTTTAAGTTTACTCGGAAGCTGATCAGTATGTCATTGGACGAATTTCGGAATGCGATATACGTTGGCAATTCTCGATGGGTACTAATTAACTTCTACCATGTTGATGACAGAATTGGAACCAGTAACGCATATAGCATTAACTTTTTCTATGCATATTCTTGTTTTATGCGTGTCTAGTTCTCGTTTTAGGTTAGTATTTGTATCATGGTAGGAGTTAGTTTTGATGTGTCGCGTTGTTCATGTAATGTATGTTAGAGTGTTAGGGTAAAGATAATCTTTGTCATTGGTTAGGTACGAACTTGTAACTGTATAATAAGATGGCACTCGTGGATCGATGCGAAGGGACACTGCAAATTCTTTTCTTTGTTATCTTCACGCAAAAAAAAACCAATACAAATTCTATAGAAAGATACATATCAATTATGGGAATGAGTTATTTCGCGGGATGGTGATAAAAAAATGTTATACGGTACGGCATACAAATGTTAGGTTTCAATAAAAAGTTTTTGCTAATTCAAACTCTGTGATTTACTTTATGGATTTTTCTAAATTATAAGAATCTAGTGGAGACTGATATCGCATAGTTTAGTTTTAGCAGCGCTAGCTTCTGTAACCTTTTTAATTTTTAAAACTACTGAGCGTATAAATAAATTGTGGAAAAACAATATACTACCTATTTTTGATACTTTGTGTTGCTGTGGAAAGCGATTTTTTTTTAAACTGATCAAATACCTTCGTTTGAGGATTTATGAAATGTTGCATTGCTTTTTCCATAGATGTTTGAAATTGATGATTAGATAGATATACGAAAAAACTGCTTTATGTTTGCTCTCCACAGTAACGCATAAGCTAAATGTATTAAAAAAAATGCTAAAACCTGTCAATTCATTGAAAATGGTGTCAGTTAAAGAGTAACTTTAGCATTTAATGTTACTTCACTCAATTTATATAAGATAGATAACCTTCTACTAAATAAACTGTTTCAGATTGTGAGTTCAATATTTGTAGAATAACTTGTGTCCCTTAATATTGAATTTAACATAGGGATCCGTTGTGCTATAGTTGATAAGAAAGAAAATGCTTTACTTACATTATTATATTCTTATAAATATATATGTAAAGAAACACGTTCATGTATTAATTAGTAAGTGTCTACGAAAACCCAATTATTGATAAAAAGAAAAATGGAAAAAATTACATGTTATAATCTAAATCTAAATATTGAAAAAAAATCTGTAAGTTATTCTGTCATGTGTGTTGTAGACGATATATTAATTATTATTATATATTGATAGAAATGATGTAATTATTGGGGAGAAAAAAAATGAATTTGTGCCTAATGAATTTCTTGGAATTCTTCATGATACTTATATTTTAGTAATGCTCAAGGTACTTTTAAGCATGTAGTCGTTATTAGATGCTGTGGCTTGGAAATAAAAATATTTTATATTATCAAAAGAAACGTTTAGTTTTCTCGATGCCAGTTCATGCATTTCGGAATGATTCAGCTTCAACGGGCTTTAGCACAGTTAAATGGAACTTGCAAAGCGCATAACGTTACGTTCTAATGATGTATTTATCTTATTTTTTAGAGCTCACAAACCCATCATTGAACCATCGTGTACTTATTACGTAATATATTCCACCATATTTTCAAACTTAGACAATAAAATGTCATTTCTTATTTCTTCGTGAGCTCTAAGCGTTCTTCTAAAACTTTTGTATCGCGTTTCGTTTTGATATTACGTATTACCTTTCATTGTTGTGAATTCTTATCAGAAACTTCGTTCAACGACAAAAAAGCAATACTTATAGTGACAGCGAAGCTCAAATTAGTGTAAAACACTCATTTACTAATAAAAATAATTGCGATGTATACGGAGTGGATGGCGTAATTTTCTTTTTTATTAGTAATGAGTTGTATAACCCCAAAGTATTTTATATTGAGGTAACATCGAATTTATAAATGTAGCGCTTCTTGTTACGGTGTTTCAATATTTGGAATCATCAGGGTTTTAAATTTCGTTTAAAGATTAGATTGTAAAAAGGTAGTTTCAAGAATGTCTGTCTTCAATTATCTGTCCCTCTAAAAACGTATTATGGATATTTTGCTGTGTCACAAGCTTTTACCTTTTCCATTACTACATGAATGTAAGTTTTAATTATAATCGTATGTGTATAAGTATTAAAAAATAAACTGTTAATAATAATGAAGTCAAAATAAAGCGATACTGTGAGAAAAAATTAGAAATTATTATAACGAACGTCTCAAAGGAATTAATATCATAGACGACGTAGCTAGCTGTTGTAGGTTATAATATATAAAACACTTATATATGTATAAAGAAAAGATTAAATAACTTGTTGTCTTCATTCTAATTATGATTGTAATCGCATTGAAGCTTTGGAAATCGCTTCGAGTCCGAGTAGATTTTTAAATATATATATATTATATATAATTCAGGAAACGGTAGGTTAAACTACTTCGTGTAATGTATAAACTTATTGTAAAATAAATGTATGACGTGGTTCAATATGTTAGTGAACAATTCACAGAACTGAAAAGTTGAATATTCTCGTTATGTTGTTTGAGATAAATTGAACATATTGTCTGTATGTATTATAGCATCTATCTCTATTGTTGATTTAATTGGTAAGCGTTCTTCTTCTAAGATTTAGGTTTTCATTTTATATTATCTACATTGTATTATGGAACACAACGAAGCATTTCTTTCTGTCACTTTCCAACACTAATCCATGTATCATGTACTCTAATGATATTTAATTGGTGTCTATAAGATTATAAGGAAAAATAAACAGTATAAAATAATCTCATATTACGAGTAATTTGTATGTCAACAAAACTGTAGTAGATGACAGTGTGTATATTAAAATATCCGTTGTTGACGTAGCTGTCATTAATGGTACTTGGTATAATGTTAAAGGTGTAATTATAATTAAACAAAACAAAGAAATTCGCACAATCTGATTCAAGGAACTAATGTAGAGATAACAATAATAGAATTAAAATTTGTAATTAAGAATCGTGAATAGGTAAGCGTTAAAAGTGTTAAACTTAAACCTCAATTTGTTTCAGGCTTCGATAGTAATTTAACGTGGTCTTTATTATTTTTATTACGTCCATAGATTTTGATAAATTTCGTAAGACGACATTAGTTTCAGAATGCGTCTAGTTGATGTTTGAGTTTTGAAAGTTTTTTCAGTTTTCATTTTTCATTTGAATGTAAATAAACACTTTGATCAATTTCTTTAGGAACAAAGAAAAAATATAAGAATGGTCCATTTATAGATTTAATTAGGATATTTAGTGACTCAACGTATTGTGTAAACAAAATATACATATAACGATATCGTATGCTTATTGAAATCGCGAATATAACTTCATGTGTATCGCCAAACTCTCTTGTTTTGATACTAAAGCGTAGCTTTAAAGCGAACATTTGGACTGAAATTGTAATAACTACTCCGCCGGAAACTTGGTCATCGGACATTGTAAATATCTTGTTATTAATCTTTGTAAGGCCACATATATTTTTGGGATCTTCGGAATTTATTCAGACGTCGTGCGTTCCGATCCATTCTAGTCTTTGCAAGTCTATTTTGAATATGTGTTTTTTTATTGTCATTTCGCTTCTGTAATTATCCCTTCGCCGTAGCGTCTTCAGCTCTCGTGGTTTCAGCGTGTTTGATGATTTCGGTGGCCTTTATATCATCGACAGCTAATTTTAGTTTTTTTTTTTCTTTTTTATATTCAATTTATACCAAAAAAATTTATGAAGCTCTTAGATACCGTTACCGATTGATCTCTTATTTGTAGCACTATACAGTTAATCGAGAAATTCGGCTAACCAAATAAGGAAACTGTCGTGTTTTCACACATTAAGATTGGTTCTAAAGTGCTGTACATATAGAACGCGTTTGTTTATAAGGAAGTTTAGGCATAGTAACCCCCTCCCTGCTCCCCCTCCCCGAATGAGACGAAACCCTTTACCCCGAAAGGGTTTATTTTGTAAAGAATTAAAGAAAAAAAATTTTTTTTTTCTAATCTGAATACGCATTGTACTTTCCAATATTGTAAGGGAAGTTTTTGGAAGATGAGTTCGTTGTATAAATTATTGATATTATGTATTTTCTAAGGTACCTACTCTTAATTGCATATGATTATAATATGTAGACTTTTAAATTGTTAAGTATGAAATAATAATATTGTAGCTATGGAGATAAGGAAAAACGTGTACATTTTGTAACGTAATTTGTTCAATAATGATTATATATTATAACGCATTGGTAAAAATAAATCATCCAGTTTTTAAAAAATAACCGGCATTTTCATTAAGATCCTCATTATATACCTCATAAAGATCCAATTGTTGTAAACTGAATTAACCATCACCGTGCATTACTACTATTTGCGCAGATGTACCTACTCATCATCAGCCGTTTTACGTCCCCACTTCAGGGGCTCAGGCCTTCCTTTTGGATGGTTAAGGAGGATAGGCCATGACCCTCCACGCTGGCCCAATGCGGATCGGAGGGTATTAACGACTGCAAATGTAGCCGGAACCAACGGCTTAACGTGCCTTCCGAAGCACGGAATAGCTTGAGATAATAATTTTTTGGTCACCCATCCCGTGACCGACCCTTGCGAAAGTTGCTTAACGACAACGATCGCGGGCCGCGGCGCTTATCCACTACGCCACCGAGCTACTTATGTAAGTCTCATGTACCTACTAATATTATGGAAATGTGAAACAATGTCCTTAACCATCCATAAGGAAGGCCTGAGCCCCAGCAGTAGGGACGTAAAAGGGCTGATGATGATAATGAAGTTAAGAAGGTAACTCGACTCAACACCCAGAATCAAAACCTGGACTCCAGAGATGGCGAGGCAATTTGAAACCAGAGAGTGAGCCACTTGACCTGCAGAGCGTTCGCCTAAACTTCTAGCTATCATTCTACAAATGAGATATGACATCTTAGCGGTGTTATAGCGCATTTTCTTTTCTTTTTACTACTTTGACTTGTACCTTAATATCAACGAAAAATGATCAATAATTATACATGGCTTTAACAGCAGTGTTTCAAACTTAGTCATCTAAACATCTTAATGAAAAATGCTTAAATCCACGGACGACTTTTCGCGATCCGGGCGACTACTCGAACCACTGAGCTGCACAGGACCTAACAGGCAGGGCTGGCGTATTTTTCAAGCGCTTGTTACTTTTTTGCTTCTACATGGCGTATTTTCATCGATATTCAGGCGCTGGTTTGCGAAAGTCCATGGGTTCGAGTCCCATATTAGAGTGCCAGTTATTTATTTATTCTAAATCTTTTCACTAAAAGACATTTCAAAGTAGTAAAAATGAAACGAAATATATCATAGTATTCGCTAAGATGTCATTTTCTATGGCTAGAGAGTTAGGCTATTTAAATATTATATTTTTATAATTAAGTTATTCTGAAAGTCCATCAAATTTATCTATTAAAAATGAATATGAAAGATCACCAAAAGATTAAGTCTTAGTTTGGAGAAAGTAAGTAACTTATTATTCAGCAATGTACCAAGCATAGATAGGTTTGACAGCAGAGTGTACACAGTGACACAGGTACCAAAAATGTTATATAATAAAATGTTACATGTCAGCAAATATGTAGTTCTATCACTGGCTATACGTCAGTCTATTTTATGCCTACTAAAAAAAATTACTCTTATGATTTTCTATTTTACATTATTACACAGCATCTAGCGAACACGGAACCTGTAAAAGGTCCAAAACTTTTTAAAATGTAAATATTTTGCATACACGCGATGAAACTGCTTGTGAGTCGTTTGATTTACTAATACAATTATTTGATTAAAAGAGACATATTTTATGACAACAAAGATTAATTCAGAACAAAACAAAATATTCATTTAGAAATCACACATGATTGTAAGCTCCAGAATTATCTGCCTCGTATGGAGCCAGTTTCGTGCCGATCTGATGTTTTATGGAGTTTGATACAAAGTAGTAAGTTTAGAATACTTTCTATATACACCTAGTTGCACAAACGTTACTTAAAATTGTCATTAGTTTGAAGCGACATTACCGATACAAATTTTAATGGACGTTTGTGCAACGGACCGATTGTATAATGAAACATAAATGTAGG